TAACTACTTGATATCGTTTCTGCGCTTTTTGGGCGCCTACGCGTGGGCCAGGCGTACCCTCTAAGGCCCGAGCTGATCGAGAGCACCCTCCTGGTGCACCGGGCCTCTGGCGATCCTTCCTGGCTGTGGGCGGGCAGCGACTTCCTCCGATCACTGCAGGTGTGTGTGTGTGTGTTTCTTAAGTATCAGCATCATGGACCGCGGTAACGAGTGACCAACAGAAAAGACGTCAGTCTCAGTGCGGTTGAAAACAGGAAATGCTTCCAAAGGCCATGATCTGGGACCCCGTGAGGGGGCATCAGGTCTCTCTCTTTCTCTGTGTGTGTGCTTCCCCTTGGGAACTTCCGCGTCCGAATATTCGTTCGTGACTAGTGTGCCAATGCTCGTGAAATAGACGTCAGTCTCAGTGCGGTTGAAAACAGGAAATGCTTCTAAAGGCCATGATCTGGGACCCCGTGAGGGGGCATCAGGTCTCTCTCTTTCTCTGTGTGTGTGCTTCCCCTTGGTCGTGCGGTGAACTTCCGCGTCCGAATATTCGTACGTGACTAGTGTGTCAATGCTCGCGAAATGCTCTCCCTTTTATGTCTTCAGTAGACCAGGCTGTTTTGTTGTTTGGTTTTTGGCTTTGCTGGGACATGCCCAATGAGCTCTCGTCTTTTGGTGGCGCGCTTTCCTCGTGCAACAGATGCCTCGGCTGCCCGTATGCTGCGGTATGTAGAGATAGACTCTGTGCTATGCCCGGCTCTCTGTGTGCCAAGGCATGTCAGTGGCTTAGAATCACGAATGAACAACACCAATCACACAATGGGAGAAGCAACTTGTTCTTCCACCCTTCCCGCGCCCTGTGTTGAACCCATCTCCTGTCGCCACATCCATGCTGCCATTGTTTGTCGTCGTTGTCGTTGTCGCTGGTTGCTCAGGTTGGCGGTGGTTGCCGCTGCCGTTGTTGGTACTGCTGTTTCACCTAACGCGCTTCGCCGTTGTGTGTTTCCGCGAAAGCGCAGGCGTTCTGCCGGACCGAGTGCGGCTACGCCGGGGTTCGAGACGTCGAGGACTGCTCCCTTGACGAGCAGATGCCGAGTTTTTTCCTCTCGGAGACCCTCAAGTACCTCTACCTCCTCTTCGATGAGGTATGCATGCTATCGTAGTTCTTGCCGTGCTCCCTGTTGTTATTTTGTGTATATATTAGTACCTCTACCTCCTCTTCGTATACATGCTATCGTAGTTCTTGCCGTGCTCCCTGTTGTTCTATTGTATTTCAGTCATGCTTTTTTTCAAGGAGGGCAACGAGGTAGTGCTGTTTCTTGAATTGCGATTTTTGTTTGGCCACTTTTTTCAGGAGGGCGATCGACGTTGTTCCGTTGTTTTTTTGCGTGTGCTCGGTGCTCGCCGGTTGATTTGCTGATGTGTGTGTGCAGGAATCAGCGCTGGTTTCTGTTCTGAAAAGTGGAGCGGCTATCCTTCCCTGTCATTGGCTGTGAGCAGATCATTTTGGTCCGTTTTTTTTTTTAGACGGTGTGGTCTTTTTCCTAAGGTCTCTCCTCCTCCATGTCGACGGTGTTTGTTTGTGCGTGCATCACTGGTCCCTCGGCGCGATCGTATCGAAACCGGTTCACGCCCCAGGACAATTTCATCCACAAGGGCAACTACGTGTTTTCGACCGAAGCACATCCTTTCTCGATCGACACTGTACGTCACGGGGGACGTATTCCCGGCGGAAGCCGCAACGGTAACGGTGGCAGCAGCAGCAGCACCAGCTGCGGAATCAGCGACAGCGGCAGCAGGCAAGGTGGCAAGCCGGGCGGCGTCGGCACCGCAGCGGGCAGTGTCAATGTTGACGTGACACAGGAACCGGCAGAGCAGAAGCAGCAGAAGCAGCAGGCGGACCAAGAACAGCGGCGGGAAGCACAAGAGCCGCCGCCTCAGCCGCAGCAAGCAACGGAGGAGGAGGAGGAGGAGGAGGAGGGGAAGAAGGCGACGATGTCTCGGCGGCCCAAGCGGCGCTGGTGGCAGTGGGGAAGGACCCGGCCCTCCGTGGGCAGCAACAACCCCGCCCCAGACGGCCACGACATCTCCCCACCTCCTTCTCCTCGGAGCAGTGACGGCGGCGGCGGCGGCGGCCGCGGTGGTAGTGTCGGCGCTAGCGCTGCTGTTGGCGACGGAGGTTGTTGGGCCGCACGGCGCGCGTCTGCGGCAGCGGAGGGGAACCACCGCCTGGGACCCGAGGGCTGGCGGGACGGTAACATCCTGTTTTGGGCCCAGGTGAAGGGGGCGGTGGGAGAGACCGGTCGTTTTGTGGCCTGTTTTGCGATGGTGGCGTTATTATGGCATGGGGTTGGGGTGTTGGCGGCCGGGAGCGGTCTGCCGTTTGCACCAACCACGGCGTCATCGTGGCGAGCCTTGCCCATCCAGCAGTTTATTGGCCTGTAACGAAAATCCCCCGTTTCAGTGGACTCATCGCTGTTTAGCGCATCACATCTTCTTTTCGAGCCACCTGACAAGTGCTTCCTTTTTGTCTCCTCGGCTGAATGCTCGGTTCTGTTGCAGCATTTTCTCCCACTGCTGTGTTGCGCCCATTTCATTCTACAGGTGTCTACCGAGGTACTGAACGATTTATCGTTCAACCCCCACCCTTGTTCTTTGGCGAAGAGCCAACAAACGCGCCCTCCGGTTGACACGAGCCTTTTTTTTTCTACGTTCTTCAAATCCATCTATCTATCTCTATCCACAGATGAGCGTCTGGGATAAATTAGCAATGAATTCATAGCGTTAGCGGAACACGACCCGTGTTTCTACGTTTCCCCCAAGCAGCATACAGCGATCACTCCCCTCTGGGTAACAAACAGGCCCTGCATGATCGTTCGGTGGCGTTTTAGAACCCTCCGACACACAATGCACACAAACGTACCAGGTGCGGTGTTAAAAAAACTCTCACGATCATTTTTATTTTATTTTTGTTTTTTTCAGGGGGGTGACCCGACCGTGGTGGAGGTGGCCGACGACGAGTTTTCGCGCCTCGTGATCTCGAACGAGCTGGGCTACATGGGGGACCTCTGGGAGATGTACATGACCCGGACGTGTGCCGTGCCTTCCGCGTGGGACGCGCCGCACCCGTACAACCCTGCCTCGTTCGTGGACACGCTTGTCGGTAAGTTGCTCTGTCGATGTTGTTGTGGTTTGTTGCTTTTGTTGTTATTGTTGTTATTGTTGTTATCGTTGTTGTGTTTGTGTTTTTAAATTCATGTGTTGTTGGTCTATCTGTTGTTGATAGTGTTGTTTGTCGTCGTCTTCGCTGGGGGCTCGATGTCGATTTCGATGTTGAACTGGCTGGGACTGCTCAGCAACAGCACTGCCACTAGCGACGGCGGTGTCATCCGCTGTTGTTCGTCCTGTGCTGTCCTTTGTGCGTGTGTCCGCGTTGTTGTTTCGGGGTTTTCACGCGCAACTCCGCTGAGGGTGACCACGGTCGGCCATCACATGAAAAGACCAAAAAAAGTGAGGATCGAACTCGTCGTCGAGGGGATCTCCTATTAGTACTAACGACTGATGGTGCCAACATGCCAACGGCGATTTGTTGCCACCGACAAACCGGCCCAAGGCAAGCGACGTGACAGTTCGCGCCCCCTCCCCACCCCCGCGGGTCTCTTGTTCGTGTGTCACGTTTTTTTGTAGTCGGAGGAAGAGCGGCGTGGGTGGTGATTGCTTCTGGGGGCGGCGGCGGGGCGCAGCAGAGTGAGCAATTCGGCCAGACTACGACGCAGACGGTGTTCTTGGAGGAGGTCGGCTTGATCGAGGTAAAGTGGACGGACCCTTCCGCGCGCACGCTATTGCCGTTAGGCAACATGACACAAGATACCACACCCCCTGGACTGATTTTCTAAGCTCGACAACTCCACGGCAAAGACGGTGGCCTATTTTTGGAAAAGCTCTCAACGCGAGGTCGGTTGCCAACGCCGCTAATTTGGAACCGTCGCTGTTGTTGCTGCGGCGAAATCGAGCTTCTAAAATCGTTCCGGTGGATATCATATCTTGTGCAACGAACCTTCCGGTGTAAGTAGCTGTTTGCCGGACGGGCTTACGGCATGGCAGGTCACTCTTCAATTTTTATCGAAATCGTCTTCTCGTCATCCCTCTGCTGGCTGCTGGCTGCAGCTGCTGCTGCTGCTGCTGCTGATTCCTCTTCTTGAGACTGCTGTGAAGAGGAGCATTGTACTGTTTTCACGAATCGTCATCGCTCTTGCTCGTCGTGGACCGCTGTTCCCCACCCCCCGCACCGTTGTCACAGCTCACAAATTACGTTCAGGCGTACGTACGTGGTATATTCCACGGACACGTCACTTTTACAGGATTTGTGCTTTCGTGTGCACACACGCACTATTAGTGTGACTTCAGAGTCGTTCTCTCAGTCCTGGAAGGGGTGGGGTGGGCGGCGGCTCGTGAAAGACTAAATTTAGTCCCTGCCTCCCCACAATTTGGACGGCCGAACGCCCAGTCTTCCGTCCGATCACCACCTCTGCGTGCACGGATATTTGTTACGAAACCCCGCTGTCTTCCCTGCGCTTCCCGGGTTTCTGAGGATGAGTGGGTCGATGATGATGCATCGTAGGAGCACGTACCTTGCAGCACGGCCAGGGCCCCTCAATAGCGCGGTACCCAACATTGCGGGGACCCGAGATAGTGCAATCGAAAGACTCTTCGCGCTCGTTTCGCCGAACACGCTCAACAGCTATATTTTCGTCCAATTGGCAAGAGAGAGTGCGGGGTTCTGCAACAGTGCTGGTTTTGGCAAAAATTGCCGTTCGATCTCACCTTTCACGATTGAGGGACGGGCTCCAAATGTGCCGCTGCCCGACCCCTAACATGTGTGCGTGCACCGTGCTTCTTTCCTCGTTGTTCTGCTCTCCTGGCACCAGGTACTGTCGGCCGGCCACAACAACTACGTACTGCACCATCCCGCAAGTGGTGAGGTTCTCGAAATTTCTCCCATTTTTGACGCGTTGGGTGGTTCGGGATTGCCCGGCGGTGCAGACGGCGGGGCGATGCAGATCTCCAGCTTCGTCCGACCCCGGCCGCAGCAGCAGCAACAGCAACAGCAACAGCAGCAGCAACACCAAGCAAATACAGAGGAAGCGGGCGCGGGGCAAGCCACGACCGACGACGTACAGAAGGAGAAGGCGCAAGAGCAAGGGGATGTCTCCGACGTCGCGAACCAGCAACGCTCAGTGGACGATGATGACGGGCTCGAAGGTTCCCGAGGGCGAGCTGAGACCAAAGCTCCGGCGACGGGGAGAGAGATGGACGACGACGGCGTGACGGGGACCAGGAGAGCGTCGGAGGAAGAGGAGAAGGAGTTGGAAGTTCGAGTCCCTGGAAGCGAGGGGGCGAGGACTGCAGGAGACGCGGCGGCGCCGGCGCCGGCGCCGGCGGTCATTTCGGGGACAGCGATCGACAAGGAGGAAGAGTACGAGAAGGAGGCGGTGGAGGAAGAGGAAGAGGGGATAGAGCGGCGGCGGGGCGGGGAACTAGGGGGAGAGGAGGCGGGGGGGGCAGACGAAGGGCTTGACCGCAACCCACGTGGACACGGTGACCAACATACCGCCGGCGGCAGCGGTAGGCAAGATCGTCGGGTGAGGCGAAGGCCGGCCCAGAGGAGGACTTTCATTGTCACGAAAGAGGTGAGAACGGTGGTCCGGCAGCGGCAGCATCAGGAGCACCAGCAGCCATCTGGCGACAGGCAGCCGGTAGCAGTAGCGGGAGAAAGCACAGACAGCAGTGCGAGGGACAGAAGAATTCTGTGTCGTTTGCTTCTACTAAGTGAGCGTTTAGGTGCGCGTGGTTGGGTCTCACCTTGAATTCCCCTGACATATTTTTTGTTTTTTCAGGGCCTGTCGGTGTATTGCTTGGTATCCGTGGTGGTCAACACCGACGGCAACAACAACATCAGCAGCAGCAGCAGCAGTAACAGCAGCAGCAGCGACAACAGCAGGCACTACTCGTGCTCGCTGTCTACCTTCAGCGCCCCCGGCAACGGCATGGCCGTCATCCCCCCGGTGTCGGCCCCGCTTGTGCTCGTTAAACCCAACGACGGGGTTTCCAGAGGCATCTCCCTCGGGTGCCACCTCGATGCCTCTGTTGGAGCCGACCCTGCTGCTAGCGGTGGTGCTGGCACCGAGCCGGGCGTTGATGGTGGTGCTGGTGCCCCCCCACGTAGTTTTCGGGACAGGTTGCGGGGCTGGTTCCAACAACACAGGGGATCGGCGCACTCGACGCTAGCATCGAATGGGGCGAGAACATCCTCTGATAGCGGCGGCGGAAGTTACTCTGGGACCATCATGGTCGTGCTGCGAGGGGAATGCACGTTCGAGCACAAGGTGCGGGAAGAGGCAACGCTTCAGGCGTCGCTGCTGCTGTTTGTTTTTGTTTTTGTTGATGATACGGGCCGTTGATGTTGTTCTTGCTGGCGACAACATATGTACAGGGCAACACACCAACGGTATTTTCCAAAACCACCCGCAATCACGCCACAAGTTAAGAAAGGATGTTTTATTCATCCAAATTGCTAGATGCCGCGCTGCTACTATTTTCGAGCGCCGAGTTGATTCCCGACGCCCCCCGCATGCACGCGAGCAGGCGAACATTGCCGAGGCGGCAGGCGCGGTCGGTCTTGTGGTGATCAACAACGAGCCCGGAGGGGTGACCCTAACCATGCCGGGGGCCAGCAACGCCGGGGTTTACGACGACGACGGAGACGACGAAGAACAGGGGGATGGTGGTGTCCAGGGTAGCGGCGTGAACATCCCGGTCGCGATGGTGAGAGCGGACAGAGAGGGGCCCGTCTCTTGAGGATGAGTGCCCCCCCTCCCCGCCATTTTCCATGTACTGCCCGCGACAGAAGAACCTCTTGTTTTGGTCGGATGGAAGTTGTCGGCGTTTTCCAGACCGGGCGCGTTTGGGGGTCAGAGTTAACCGTAAAAAAGGCCATTGGGCACATACAGGAGCGCGACACGAAGGAGACGCGCAGAAAGACACCCCAAGGGAAACGATTGTTTAGGAGAACCGAAGGGACATGTGAGGATGGCAAGAGTACACGTTCTCAAGGCGCGCCTTTTCTTGTCTGATGGCGCGCACTCGTAGAACACGTGTGGCTGCTGGTTCCCGTGCGCGCGCCGCCCCCGGCGTTTGTATCGCGACTGTTTCATGCCCGCGTATGCCCGCGTTGTGAATACTACCGCCCGCTTCCATTGCCACATCTGTGTTGACACTGCTGACAGTGTACTGCTTTCACAAGAGAAGGCAAGCGTTGCAGAGAGGGCGGGGTTAAGGAGGGTCAAGGGGGGGGGGGGGGGTTGGATGAACCCTTACGGCGTGACCCCGGATGAGATAGCTCTCCGGGGGCTTATATCACGAACGATGAAAAATGATCTGTGTTGCCACTGCTGAGTGCTGCTTTCACAAGAGGGGGCAGGCCTCGCGGACAGGGCGGGGGGTCGGGGGTCTTTGGCAGAGGGATCCTTACTGCGTGACCCCGGATCAGAGAGCTCCCCGGCAGCTTGTATCATGAACGACGAACAATGACGTGGGGATGCCGAAACAAATGTAACATGACCAACATGGTGCCGTGAATGCAACCTCCGGACAAGAGTTGCGTTACGTGCAGACGCTATGTTTTTAATCACCTTCCTGTTCGAACATATGTTTATATGAAAATAGCACGTCACCATCGACTGAGTTTCCCGCATGACGACCTGCGTGACCAGTGATTGGTGGGACTTCCCGTATCCCGGATGTGTCGGATCCGTGACGACACTATTTAATAAAAGAATAATGATAAACAAAATCCGTTACCCCAGGTGGGACTGGAAGACGGCGTGGAGATCATGAAGATTCTCTCGGCCGCGGCGACCGCGGGGGTCGACGAAGAGGTCAGCATCCAGGTAAGGTGGTAAAAGAGCCTTCGTTCTTGAGAGCGCTGACAGATGTTTTCGGCTTCTCGGGGTGTTTGTTTTTGCCCGCCCTTCCGAGGTCAGCTCGGGTCGGAGATCTTCGGAGATTTGGTCGGAACAGGTAAGAGATTCAGTCGAAACACTTCTCGTTGTAGGTTCGCGAAAAGAATGGCTGCGAGGACGTTTCATTGCCTAGGTAGGAGAGTGGCAAGACGACGGGTGGGGGTCGGTCTCGAACTATTGAACATGCTGAAGGCCGCATGATGACCGCCCTCTAATAACAAGAATGGCTCGTGCGGGAGTCAGCCCGTTATGGAACCCGTTGAGGCAACGCCTCCTGTTAAGCGGGTCCTTCTTGAGAACATGGCTGGGTTGGGGAACATGTGGTACGCGTTGCGTTTAAGATCACATGGCAATCGGTCGCTATCCGACCCTACGCGCCAGCAAAGCAGTTTCAGTCGATCATGGAAAAAATAGAAAATGGTGACGTCCGTACCACCATTATTGGCGCCCAGATAAAAGGAAAAGAACCAAAGCAGCTCGTTGTGGTGGCTGTTGTTGACGGCAGTGCATCTCCCTGCTGTCTACATATACGCCGCCAGTATATTGTTGGACGTATTAAACATCCTCAGTGTTGTAGGTTTCTTTCGGTGGGGGGATTCAAACACGGCAGCACGACAGACGACAAAACGCACTTTCGGCGATAATGCCGAGAGATTGACGAAATGAATGCGCCTATGTGCGTGCTGTCCAGACTTCCCTGATTTCTCTCTCTGCATCTCGCAGCGTAATCTTACTCTCTTTGGTTGCCTGTTCTTGGATTTTCCTGTTGGTGCTGCTGTTGCGCGCTGTTGACAGCATGCTAATCAGCCACATATTCACCCCCCCCGCCCCCAGCCTTTGGGGCTTCGTGCCCAAGCGTACGCTCTGTGATTCATTCGTCACCTGCAGCACCCAACACACACGCACCCACCCACCCCCGGCGCGCGCGCCCGCCCTTCTGGTTTGCACTTTGTCGGATACGTTTACGCACATCTTTTGTTACCTTGACGCTTGACCAAAACGAGCTTGCTGACGTCTTCTTGGTATAAGTGCTTTTTGTTCGTTAGTGACACCAGACAACAGGCCGTCGTGCTGAGTCGTTCATACCTCTCCAATTCTTCAGCAACACGATTGCCCAACGTTCGGGGGATAAATGCCGGCCACTTGGTGACCAGAGAGCTAGTTATATTCCGTCAAGTTGACGATAGTGATCTCCTCGGTAATCACCCAAGCCTCTGTACAACGAATTGTACTTTCTTTTTCAATATGCAGGGGGTTCTCGATGCGAGGACCATGCACGACAGCGTGTTCTCCAGGCTAATGGAAGAGCAGAAGCAGGGGCTGCGGGATAGCCGGGGCTCCTTACTACCCGCCGCCGCTGCCGCCGCCGGGTGCAGCCGCAACAGCGGTGGCGATGATAGCGGCAGACGAGATGCCTGTAGGGGCAGCGGCAGCCCAACACCCCCTCGCGAATCGTGGCGAAGTGCTGGTGGTGTTGGTGATGCTAGTGGTGATAGCGACGATGGTACAGTTGCTGATGATAGCTTTCCCTCAGGAGACAACGGCAAGGGTGCGGGGAGAATTCCTGCTGCTGACGCCTCGCTGCAAGATGTTGGTAGCAGTGGTGTCGGTAGTGGAGGCGCTGGTGCCGTCGGAGGAGACGCTGAAGACGAAGCCAGGCCCGTCGTCGACGGGCCGTCCGCCGCTGCGGCGGACGCGGGCACCGGTGCGATGCCGGACAGGGGATGGGGGGGGGAGGGCCGTGCCCCCGTCGACGAGGAAGTCGAAGAGGTAGAGGGGGGGACGAGCAGCAGCAGCAGCAACAACAATGATAACGACAGCAGTAGTCACAGCAGTGATGGCGACAGAGATAGCGGGAACAACCTGTTCTCTTTTCTCTCGTCGGGTTTCGACGAGGCCACCTTGGGAGGCATGCGACTTCCGCCTTTTTCCCTGCCAAGAGCTGTCGTCGGCGACGGCTACGTGCAGGTGTGTATGGCGTGTGTGAGCGTTGCTTGCGTGCGCGTCAGGTGTCTACAAAGTCCTCTCATCGTGTGCTCCGTGCACGGTGGTGTGCTCGGGTTTTGATTTCGCTGCAGTAAGAAAGTTGCTGAATGCCCGCTCCCTTATTCAACCGCAGCCAGCTTGTCGATGGACGCCTTCACGATATGTATTGGGGGGCCGCAAAGTGGTAATGATTCCAGCGGAATTCATTCATTCGCCCTATGGCACTTTCAGAAGTGGTTCAGGACTTTCAGCAAGGTTTGATCCCGACCGTGTGTTGGCGCGGAAGCCAAAACGCACGTACGTGTGCATAGCGGTCAGCAGCAGTTCGTCTTTGGAGCGATGTACTATTATTACCAAAACAACCACATGTGCTGCAGAACGTAGTCGAGCGTTCGACTACATCGAGCGGAAGCCAAAACGCACGTACGTGTGCATAGTGGCCAGCAGCAGTTCGTCTTTGGAGCGATGTACTATTATTACCAAAACCATCACATGTGCTGCAGAACGTAGTCGAGCGTTCGACTACATCGAGCAGAAGGTCGCTGCTGTCCGCGCTGGTACTGGTCACCCGATGTACTATCGCGTCGCCCCTGTCTCCCCCCGCGATGCCGAACAATCCCGAGTGTCCGGTGTGCACCGTTTTTCGGGATGCATGGTTTCGTTCGATAGTCTCGTCAGCACTGCTCTGACGCAATGACGCGGCCACTACGTGGCTTTCCGCGTTACCCCCTGGTCAATGATCTATTATTTAGCAACTATGGCGTGCATAATACGAGTACACCCCGTGATGCGTCCGCGCTGTTCCCTTGGTGCGCGAAACCCCACAGGTGATGGGCGTAGGGCACTGGGGCGTGATTATTTTCCCGCACGAGGGCATTTGGGCGCTGTCGTTGACGCCCAACGTATTTAACCCTCCGCCGACACCGCCCGAAAGCGGCGGCGGAGAAGACGGGGGAAAGACAACGGCCGCGGTGGCCGTCCGCAGAACAAAGGAGGAGGAGGGTCTCCTTGGAGACAGGGACGAACGAGAAGATGGCCAAGCTGCGGGTGCTGCTGTTTCTGCTGCCGAGGACGTGGAGGATCGCGATGGTGATGCCTCAGATGGTAGCAACGACGATTGTGATGATGATGACGATGACGATGATGATTTCGATGCCTTAGATGATGACGATGACGACGACGATTTTGATGCATTAGATTATGCCTGATTGGGTCCTGGCCGTTGCGGTGGCTGAGCTCACGAGCGCATAGCATGCGCACGAATTAATCGTGTCGAGAGTCAAGAGCGATCGCAGTAAGTGCTGTTTAAGGGCGGACTCCACGACGCTGCTACCGTGGCACGCTCTCCTCTTGTACATAGCGTGTGAGAGTGAATGGGTATGCAAGTTACGTGACGATGATTTTGCTAGGGGTGGTGATACGATGGGAAAACCGTCGATGTTGTAGTTGTTGCGTCGACTGGGACAAAGGTTCAAGTGACTACTACTACTTGTTCTGGTGCTGCCCCTGTCGTCTAGGGTGCGGGACCATGTCCGTGCCATCGCTAGTCTCAGGATGTTTCCCGCGGACCAAATGCTGTTTGTGACCGACTCCAGCCTACGCCTTCGTTCGACGTGAAAACGGCGCGGGCTCTCCTGTGCGCATGTGGGGGCCGTGTAGCCTTCGTGCCTTGTGACCAACAATTACAATTTGCAAGGTGTGATCACACTGCCGTAGATATCGCGAACGCCTCAGGTCACTTTCGGCGCGACTTTCGTGGGATTTTCAACACAGGAGTAGGTGCAGGCGGTCGCAGGTATTTTCTTCAAGCACATGACCGCACACCAGGTTTGCGGGCGTTCCAAATGGTATCTGCCCGTTGTGCACAGGAGGGGCAGCGGGCACTTGTGAACGTATCCCGCACCCCTTCCTAGTCCGAAGAAAAACACTGCAGACGCGAGAAAGCCAAACGCAAAGAGTCTACACTTGATATTGTCGTCGATCACAATTCAGCGAAGTTTTTTCGTCCCCGCGAACCGCGCCAAGCATCGTGACACCAGCAACACCTCCGCGCTATGCTTGCGCCGTCGGTGACAGGACTGCTGGATACGATTCCTGCCCGAGAGAGTCATACGCAGCTCAGCGGCCTCACAGCCCCCGTGCCACAAAACGCTCACTCCTAAGATATAGTTATGGTTTACCATCGCTTATGCACAAGGGTGATTACAAGTTTCGTTTTGCAAAGAAACAAACAAAATAAAAGCTCGTCTTTGTCCACCCGTGGGTAGACCAAAAACAACAACAGCAGAAGCTCAGCAAAACGAGAAACAACTTTCCTAACACTTCTGACACGACCAACATCGGCGTGCCAACACATGTACGAACTAGGTGCTCTTTCTGAGCTGAGTGAGGTGGGCTATGTGGTAGTAGGGACGACATTACAAGGACTACAAAACACTTTACTCTTACACTCGGCAGCGGTTCCTTCCCGGCGGGAAAAAAAAAAAAACACTTTTTCCGGGAGAACATGCTTATGTATCACGGCCTTGCCTATCGACCACGCAATCGCCCAGCGCAAAATACTAACTCCGAAATATCCGGGGAAACGGCGTCCATGTAGGTACGCCTGAACACACAACAATAAACTGAAAAAGACAACGTAGCGTGTTATCATCTCGCACAGGCGCAAGACAACCTTAACCTTAACAAAATGTACAGTTGGTTCGGCGGGTCGGCCGATGTTGTCTCAGAACAGCCAGCCCTCTTCCTGGATCGCTGTTGGCTTGACAGTGATACAGAGGACACGGCACACAAAAGTTCTACTCAAGTCTACAACTCGTCGCACGCCATTCATCAGCAGCCTCCCCGAGGCGCTGCTTCACACAAAACAACCTCGGCTACCCGATGTTGTCGCGGCGTAGTGCAGCGACTCACCAGCACCGAGAGACAACAGTGTAAGCTCTTGACCCGCCCAGGGCTTATCGTCGCACCAGACCCAGCGGCAACAACACCAAGCACGACGGCGTTGCAGCCAGCCCCGCGGCTTGAGGCTGGCTGCACGACAACGACTTTCGCCTGCCGCTGGCAGCGATCGGTGGCGGACGCACAGGCACCCATCGCTTTCCACCACGGTGCCCTGCGGCGGCACACACACCCAGCAGAAAACGGCGGTGTGAGGGCCACACGTTCGTCTTCCTCTTCACGAGGCCTGCCCGGGCGCGCTGGGCCGGTCGGGTGTGGCGTCGGGCGCTGTCGGGTTAACAGGGGGCGGCCTGATGAACTCCGTGGTGAAGGGGTTCTTGGGGTACGCCGAGGCCTCCGCCAGACCCGTCGCCTCCGCCGCCGCCCCCCGCCTCCCGAGCCCGGTGATCATGAGCTGGAACTCTCTGGCGAGGGTGGAGATCTCGTCGTCTCCCCGGCAGAGGAGGTAGTCCAGGCAAGCGGTGCGGTTCATCGTGTAGCGCCCCGCGGTTCGGCTGTCAATGCTGCCGCCACCGCCGCTGTCACAAGGAGGTTTGCAATTTGATTGCGTTGTTGTTTTCCATCACGACAAAATACAGGGAATGGTGGGCCGTACGAAGAACGAATCAGCAAACCACTATCCTTGGCTCGAGCGCAAAAACTATTCAGAGTTCTTGACGCCGCCCACGTTGCACCCACTCCTAGGGTATGTCGCTCATACCATGCGCAGCGGTCAGCCTACTGCTGTAGCATGCTACCTTGTGCTTCAACGAACGGCCGACGCGGGAACACGAACAACGAAGTTACGTCTGATGTTGTTCGAACAGGTTCTACAAACCTATTGCTATCGCTTCCCGTAGGGACATTCTGTGTCACAACGTTGTGGCCATCCATGCAACTCTGGGAAAGTATCACCTGCTCCCGTCTCTCCTGGCGCCCCATGTGGCCGCCACACTGCCGAAGACGTCGGTCTTCGCCCCGTCCTTGGCGATGCTGCGTGCGGCCTTGGTCATCTTGACGATGGGGCCAGTGATGGAGCCGGCCAGGAAGCACACGGAGAGAGCCACGGCGACCAGGGTGAAGCAGGCGACGATGGCCGTCGTGACGATGATCTGGACGAAACGTAGAGAGAGAGGGAGGGCGGGGGGGAGAGACAGACAGACACACAGGCACACAAGGACGCGGAGACACATGCATGCGTGTTTTAGCACTTGCACGAGCTCGTGGTTTGGTTTTCAGGGCGAGATACAAAAATTTGGTGTCGATGACGTACACCCGCCATCGGTGCTCCTCCTTCCCACTTGGACAAACACATGATTTTGCTTGAAACAACGAACGCGACCGACACGCGCTCGTCTGCCTCGCCGAAAACGACCCTCTTCGTTTCTTATAACGAACGTGCGTCACCCAAGACTGTTGTTAAAAAAAACGTGCGCCGTACCTCCGTGGTGCTTTCCTGGATCAAATCCGCCATGCCGTCTACCGGTCGGAAGATCTCGTCCCGCGGAACGGCGCTCAGGATGTAGTGGGTCACCGTGCCCTCGCCGCCGGAAACGGCCGTACCGAACGTGGTCATGATGGGGGCGGCGATGAGGATCGACCCTTCCTCTGGTAGCGGTGGTACGGCACGCACCCGACGATAAGGCAACAAAAGTTAGTGCGCGTGAAATAGGTACCACATGCTTATGCAGCACGGCAGGCAGCGTTAGTCACCAACGCCGGTTGGCGAAGCCCGCCGACCTAAAACGTCCGATAGTTGAGTACTCAAGTCCTACGCGGCACACCACACGGTTCGAGACGATCAGCAGGAGAAACGGGCGCGTCCAAACTGGGAGACAACATGTAAAAGAAGCCACAGCGGACGCGCGGCGCAGCCGCCGCCGCCGCCGCCGGGGGGGGGGGGGGGTTCCCTTCTGTTGCCCATGCGCGTCTCGTTTTCTCACCGTCGCCACCTCCGGTGGTAGACACGGCTTTGAAGGTTTTGATGCCGCCGTTCTCGGTTTCCAGCAGCAGGTCTTCCCAGCCGTCGCCCTCGTCGCCGGAGCAGATGCCGTTCCCGAGCTCGCACACCTTTGGCGCGGGGGGAGCGCGGTGGAAAGCATGCATCATCGTCGTAGCATGGGGGACAGCAAGAATTTTTTTTGAAAAACGAGTGTGGACGAGAAAACAAGAATCTGAGTGTGGCGAGCAGCGGGAAGAAAAAAAAAATTCGGACCTGTAAACACCCTGACCATTGGCTACTCTAGCGGGTGGTGGTATTTTTTCTCGTGTTATACTTCGGAATCAACGTTCGTGGTTTTGTCGCCTTTGCGTGCCATTGGGAAGCGAGGTTTACTAAGGTGCAGACCTCGCGTTGCAAGAGCGCACAAGGATGAGTCTACCACGTGTTCCACACTTCGCCAGCAGCACAACCCTTTCTAATAATACTCAGCCGGGACGAAGCCATGATGAGGTTTACCCTCACGGGTTCCACCAGAGACCCGAATTGCCTCAAGCAAGTTCCAAATTCCCTCCCTCCCGACGGAGGGAATTCAGGTCTGGGGGAAAACCCATCAAGGCTTCGTCCAGGCTGATTATTCCCCTCGCCTACGCTTCGATGCAAAAAGTCATCTCGCGTGTGGAGATCGACATACGGGAGTAGCCAATACAACAAATGGACAAGGATCGAGGCCGAGTGGCGCACCGTCGTGACGTCCTCCGCAGTGTCCCTGTCCCACGCTGCCCCCGCTGCCAGCACTACTCCTTCATCAGCCGTCGCCAGGATAGAGTATCCCGTGTCCAGGAAGTTGATGCCCTCCACCGACTCCTGCACTTGCTCCAGCCGCACGTCCACGCCGACGACTCCCAGGAGGCTGCCGCTGGTCGTTCCCGAATTGCTGCCAAGCGCATTGATTCGTGGTATGCAAAGACTTGTACTCAGTTATCCTATTGGTCAACATATGCGAGAAAAAAAATGACACACACAAAAAAGAAGGACGAGATAGAGGAGAGCGAGCCGGCCGAGAATCGTCGCGGCACGCACGCATCGACGTCCAGAGTTTCTTCCCTCAAAATATTCCGAAGCCCCCGCAGGGGGCTTGACTTTCTGCAGCGCGACTACACAGCAAAGTTTGCCGTCAAGTCTTCGGGGACACTCACTCACTCGATGTTCCGCGACCCGCTAAGTTTGGCTTTAGAGAGGGCCGCTTATTCTACGCCTTGTCTACGAGCAGGCGTTGTTCTCTTCGATCGTACTTTCTTCGATGTTTCTCATGTGTCCTGCCGGTAACTCGTGTTGTTGCGATCCTGCAGGGCCAATCGTCGGTTGGAGTACAAGAGAGAGAGAGAAACAGCAGAAAAAAAGAGACTAACCTGTACACAGCCCGGGCTAGGGTAACGAGCCAGTCGTTCTCCGACCCCACGGCGTCGATGTAGGGAGGGGTGACGATCGCCTCCCCGAGAAAGGTCTCCGGATCCATGTCTGCGTTCTCGGCCAACGTGTACCTGGCAACAAAAGCAATTGTTGTTGTTGTTGTTGTTGTTGTTGTTGTTGTTGTTGTTGTTTTTGTTGTTGCTGTTGCTGTTGCTGTTGCTGTTGTTGTTGGTGTTGTCGTCGTCGTCGTCTCGGTCGTTGGTGTTGTTGGTTGGCGTAACCTGTATCGCCCATCGCGATCTAGCAGCCGCACCCGCCGTTTTCGGGCAGCAAACCACACAATTTACTTTCAATCCGTCGGAAATCCTCCTCACACATACACAAACAATCCGGAAGCGGGGTACCGTCGTCCAACCTCTCCTGCCCCACCCCTCCCCCCGCGCGCGCGGGGGGGCAGAATTCGATGACTAGAAAGCGTAGTCAATACTGTTTGTCCCGCCGTTTTACAAGACTGGCGTGTAATCACCATATAGTCGGCTAGCGCGGTCGACGCTAGCTACACACAAATTTTTTACTCCCGTTGTAAGAGACTGGCGGCTTTTCAGTGGTCAGCCGGTTAGCGCGGTCGATGCTAATAATAATAAAAAAAATACACACACACACACCAGTCGCGCTCGGTAGGGTTGTAGCAAGGAGAGGTCCCGTCTTCCTGGACGTTCTCGCACGCGAAGGCCGAGCCCTCCACCGCGCTGAGGTCGGTGCCGGGGAAGTAGCGGAACATCTGGCTGGTGGTAGAGAGCTCCACGCCGAGGAGGATGCCCTTGGTGTCGTTCGAGTTGATGTACATGGCCGGCCACAGCAGGTCCAGCCGGGCTGACTGGTTGATTCTGAGCTGCTCGTCCGCCGGAACCTCGACCGTGTTGGACTCGGCGTCCGCGTAGTACCTGTAGCAGTCGAAAGTCATTCACGTTGGGGGGGTGGGAAGCGTACTCGTCTGGTTGCTGCATTGCCGCAGTTTGTTACACCATTGACTTGTCCACGAGCGTCCTCGAGAAACCGTAGTTGTTAGACCTTTGACTGTCCACGCGCGGCCTCGAGATCGCTCGCTTAGTTTGCTTTTGGCGCATTCGATTCGATCGAGTGGGCGTGAAGGGATCACGCCTCCTTTTCCGAGGCGAGGGGTACGGTGTTTGCTGTTACGAATAGGTAGGTACCATCCCGTGCGGGCGCGTTCTTACCACGCCGCTTATCGTCATTCTCTACTGCGTAGCCCCTCCATATTAATCATTATTCCCTTTCAATTTTCGCTCGATGTGACCACCGCCCGTACGGTCTTACCACCGCCGTTGTTTTCTCCGACGAGGAAGTAAATTCAGGGTGAAACCGAGGGGGATGCGCCTGGTGGTCGGTAACAAACACCCACCGGCAAAGCGCCCCAACGTATGCGTAGGTAGCAACGACGAGAGTAGCTGTTGCCTATGACAGGGCGTGCCGCAACTGTCTCCGCAGATGTGCATTTCATACTTTTTGTCTCAAGCCCTTGCGCATTCGACCCCCCCACCATCCCTTCTGAAGAGTAGACCCCCCCACTGACGGCCCACGATCTCCGTCCGGTACGTGAGAATGGCCCTGCAACACTTCTTAGACTTGCCTTCCTTCGCTGCGCTCAACAAGAAGATTCTACCAACAAGCCCCAGTTGGATCTCTTTTCACCGCAACCAGGTGTCGCTACTAGCCAGCGCAGTTTCAGGGGGTGGGTGGAGGGGATTGGGAGGTGCCAGCCACTGCGGAAGGGGGGCGGGGCGGGCTCTCTTGCTGTTGTGCGTCCCTCCACGCACTCTCTCATCCAACCAACTACGGGAATTGTCCGGGGCTGGTTAAAACGTAAAAACGTGCGGTCCATACATAAATGGGCGCAAATGTGAAACTCTTGGCACGCGTGATGACGTCGTCAGACAGCCGCACCCAACGCGAACAGTCCCAAAATGGGAAAGACAGAGAGAGAGTCCTGCCCCAAGTTGTCGACGTGTTGTTCTTCACGCCAACGTTTCCCTCCCCTTCCTACTGCCACTGCTACTGCTGCTACACTACATTGCACGGTCTACCCACTTGATGGACGTCGTACCGTAGACGACACAAGATAACACACCCACATAAAAAACCACACCCCCCACCGAATAAGACACCCGGGTGATAATTTTAGCCGTTTCTGACAAACCATTGATTTATCACCGGGGCTACGTAAGATGACACACCCCTGAGATTACGCCGCATACATTCACAGGGCCCCCATGGGGCCCCTCCTTCTTCACCGGGGTGATACAACATCTGCCCCTTGGGCATCATCTGCGTAACTCTCTTTTGGTCGTACCCAATAGCAAGGTATGCAGCAGCCTACCTTTTTGTGACAGGGGGCAGGACGGATGGCGCACTCCGTGGTCACCGAGGTCATGTGCTCAGGAGTTTCGTCACTTCCGTTGAGTCCCTTTGTTTCACCACATTCCGCAGAACCACAAGCGTTCGTACAGGCATGCCTATCACCCCCCCGAAATACCACACCCCTTCAAGTGTGCGGCAGCAGCGGTTCAACTCTACAAGCAGTGTTACAACACCCGACCCCCAAACACACCCTGTGGGTATTCGGACGTGCTATCACACCCACTTTTCATCAACCCCCCCTCATTTGTCACACCCCCAAACACACCCTGTGCGTGTTCGGACGTGCTATCACACCCCCTTAGGGGCCCCTAACGCAAGGAAGTAAGCACAAGATGCCGAACACCCTTAGCAGGATGCAGCGCACCCTTCATGCGACTCGCCGAATACCTCATGGCGCTTCGCCCTTGGTGATGTGAGAGCCTGGTCCGGTGAGAACCCGGCGTGCTCCGTCCCGGCTTTGTAGGGGTGCGAGGTCAATGGTCAAACGACTACGGCATGCACGACTATGAGTACATCCCCCCCTTAGGGGCCCCTGCGAGCTGCACGTTATCACCCGGGCTACATGAGATACACACACCCGACAGGATACCACCGGGTGATAATATTTTCAGAAGCCCAAAATGTTATCACCGGGGTGTGTTATCTTGTGTCGTCTACGGTACTAGATGTTACGGTCCACCGACTTGATTCGACCCACCAGACGCTGCGGGAGAGGTCGACGGGGACGTCCTGTCGGCTGAAGCCCACCAGATTGGCTTCCGAGCTTTCCGTGATCTCGATGTCGCGGAGGTCGGTGTGGGCCGGAGAAAGGGGGTACCCTTCCTCTCCCCCGGCAAGGATGAGGTCCTGGGTAGCGGAGTTGATAGATACGAGCGAGGTATGAGAGTCACAGGAAAATTCGCGTCAACGGAAACGCTCTCTTCTATTGCGCAGAGACCGCGCGTCGACCTCGAGAAGGCCAACAGCAGTCTCCGCGGCAAGGCCGGTAACACCAGACGACATTCATTGCTAAAGCAGCTTTTGCCTCTTCATGTTCGCGAACTTATTTTCTTGCTCAGATATATCGTCTGGTCGACAGCGGCAGCTAGCTCAACATCAGCAGGAGAAGGGGAGCAAAAGAACGAACACACAACAAGCTTTGGTTCTTCTTCAGGCAGCAGCTGCGGCCAACCAATCCACCGAGGTTGCAGCTCGAAAAAGAAGAAAACGTACCTCCTGGAGGGCGTCCCTGAGAGCGTGCGCCGAGACGTCGAGCACCCCGTACTGGATCTTCCGGAACCTCTCTCCGATTGTAGCCGCGGCCTCCACGCTTGCGTCCCTGAGGTGCCGCTCTATCTGGGCTTCCAGGCTGTCGCGGGCCTCGGACTCAGCCTTGTCACCGATGTAGGCCGTCGTGCCCATGACCACCCCGAGGGCCAGCAGCAGGCTTACCTACGGGAGTCAACGGGGTAAGGGGGCGGGTTGATTGATGGGCCGGTCCGTCGTTGTTGTTGTTGTGGAGATGAGCTTCACTACTGTGGGGGTATCGCGACCCCCTGTATAGCGACATGCCCTGCTTAGCCGCCAAAAAATCACGTGGCACCGCCGCACTCCGGTAGTATAACTGCTACAAAGTAGTTCGGATTAGCGACCTGCCCTGAATAGCGGCCACATTTCGTCGTGACCCTAGGGATCGCTAGACCGCCCCCCCCACTGTACGTTCATTCGCGATGGTTTGCCTTCGACAAAGGCGGCCAACCTAACGGAGCTGTTGGGAAGGAGAGATATGGCAACCTTCCACCTTTCGCTGGAGAAAAAGACATATCTCAGAATTCCACTGCCGCTGCGTGGTGACCATGTAGTGTCGGAGGGACCACAAATCGACCGCGATTGGAAAAACGCGGTCGCAGACAAGTGGAACAAGTTGTGTGTTGTAGGTGGACCGCAGTCGTGTAGAAACACCTAACATACAAGTACTGATACGCATTCCATGTGCTAAGGACACATGGACCTGCCGCGGCGAAATATCTACCAATAATTGAACGCTGCTGTGCTGCATCTACATAGGGAGGATCTGCAAGCCAAAACCATTTAGTAAATCATTCCCCCCTGTAGAGCGCAAGAGAGAGGGACAAAGAAACATGGGAGCCCGGGGAAAGTTCGTAGCGGGACTTGTTTTGTCAGGAACAGGAGGATTTCGACAATGCCAGACTTACTTCGACAAGCTACATTGCTGGTTTCCGCCATCCATGAAGGGCTGTGAAATACTTCGTAAAGAGGAGCAGGGATACAGAACTTCGACATGTACATTGCTAGTACGTAATTTGTCGGTTTTGATCATCGGAGAAACCTTACCCTTTGTCGGGTGTTTTTTTTTTTGTTTCGCCCCCCCAAGCCCCCCTACAATTGTAACAAGCTGCTCGCGAGGGAACCTCCGCATCATCTGTCCCGAAAAACTGTCACGGGTACCGGCTTGTGCACTATCGTAGCATAGGAAGCTAAACCCAAAATTGGTGCAGGGGAACCCCTAAAGGGAACCTCAATCCAAAACCCACGTGATTTCATACAGAAAAACCTTCTGCATGATGATGAGGGCACCCTCCCGAAAAAAAAAATTGGTCGGGCCTCTGCATTTTGGGAACCTCCACCCAAGTTGCTCCACACGAACAAACGATTTTCCTCAAAATACAACACAATAACTCTTCCCTACAGCAGTACATACAGCAGTAGTGAGGAACCTTTGCATTGGGAGGCGCTTTCCTCGACACCAAGGGCTCTGTCCACTACTGGCAACCCGTACATGGCACCACAACGCTTCAACCTGGTACTGCTGTAGACTAGAGGGTAGGCACCGAGAGCGCGAGAGAACGCTGTTCTTCGGTGTGTGTGCGTTGGGATGAGTCTATCATGTGGAGTACTATGTACAATGTACAGCAGAATTTTGCACGTGTCGCCGCCCCAGGTCTTGCCTGCTAACATATTGCACTGCTGTAGTATTCTGGTTCATGGGCCATCGGCATTGGAATCAACGCGAGGCGCTATGCTTCCACACGCACGGGGGGCACCGTGCCCGTACACGCACGGGGGGCACCATGCCCGTTTCCATGGTTGGGGCGGAGCGACTGCTGTGCCGTGTCTACTATGGACATGTAGCGACTAGAGTTAGTGTCGACGGGTGCGTGAAGAGCACCACCAGCTGATAATAAAGAGGCAGTGCATCGCCACCAATAGCCGCCACCATGCCATCACACCTACGTTTGCGCGCGTTGGTTGTGGACTGCCACCAACAACGAGCGTTTGCTTTTGGTTGCGAAACAGCAGCGCAGCATATTTTAGACAGCAGGGGCGGCGAGTCATACGAGTAACTACGCGAGTATGATCAAAGCATCAGCGCGAGCTGCTAGGCGCCTCTTTCTCTCTTGCTCTCTGCCGCTGAACGCTTTTGGTCTCTCTCTCTCCCTGCGATTCCGCCGGTGGCAACTCATTGAAGGAAACAGTTCGTCGGAAATACAAAAAAGAGGCTTTTACTGCTGCTCACCGCGGCGAGGGCGAGGAAGCTCAGCAGGAGCTGCTTCCGCAGCGGGTACTTCTTGTTTAGGCATGGCTTGCACGCTGCGGTCGCAGCGCGGGATGACATGTTTTCCCGTCCTCCCTCTCTCTTTTCGGCGGTATCGCTGCTGCTGCTGCTACTGAACGATCGCGGGATTGATGATGGGCGGGGTGGGGTGCGATTTTTCGTTCGTGTGTTTTTTTTTTGTATGACACTTTCGTGTCGTGTGTTGTCTTGTTCGTGCGTGCGCAGAAATTTCATTATTTCGTGGAACGCTCCTTGGGCGGTTCGAGGATCCGAAGTGTTCGCGGGAACCTCGGATCGATCCGAAGAGTTACATGACACCGTTCTTTTTTTTCGCGAGGCTGTTCCTCCGTTGCCCTTGGGATATTTCTGTATACTGAAATTAGCGTAGAAGAACGAACCCAATTTTGAATCTAAAGAATCTTTGTCCGAAACCACCTGTGGGTTTGGATCGAGCTCTCGACCGACGTGAGGATGATGACGAGAGGATACCCCTCTGGGCACAGAAAACCTCCAGAGAAACCAACTGCTTGTTGTGCTGGCTGACGGCCGACCCATGTCAGCGGGGCAATCAATCACCACGAAGCACAGGACGTAAACTTGCGTGTGTGTGTATCATCCGCTGACCCAGCTGTGGATGGCAACACTCTCTCCGTGTCTCTCCCGTGACCCGTGACCTCCGCACTTCGTCGCCAACAATTAAGCATGGCGTCCGGCAGGAGCTCTTCCCCTCCTCCCGTCGTCGATGGCAACTCCAAGCGCACCACAGGGCTTGCGAGGAAGCTGACCTGTTCTGAGATCTCAATAGGTGAGTCAGAGAGAGAGAGAGAGTAGGCGCGCTGTCGATGAAGAAGGCTCCCACGCATTGGACCTCACATTGAACCTATCTACTGCTGTATATGCACCTGTGAACCAGGAACAATCACACACTTACTATCGTTGATACACCAGCAGTCACCCTTTCTTCCCATCCCCACTCTCTTATCTAACCCAAAATCACGTGATGTATGCTTGCTTGTCTGCAAGGTAGCCGACGGAGACGGTGTATTCTAGACTAATACACCTCCTCCTTGCGAACGGTGGTGGGGTGGGAGCATAGTATATGCCATCGCTAAGACTTCGTAGGTTGGTACGTTGGGTTCTAAGCCAGAGGTCCTAGGGGCGCAAACAACGACGGCAACCGGAAGCTACAGCAGCTACATGGTAGAGACGGCGGCTATCTCGAGGTCGGCACAGTATTGCCACCTTTTGGGATATCATTGAAAGTTGATTGCGGCTCATGGGCGCACGAAGCACCTTTACTTTGCCGTCGATCATGTTCGCTCGCCACCACTCTCATGCAGTTGTTCCCAGGTATGTACAGGTTGTGAGAGTTCGTTGTTTTCTGGGTGTCTCCGGCTTCGGCAGCGTTTGATTCTCCGCACTAATTATCGTATGAAAATGGAGTAGCGTCATCTCGAAAAACAGCAGAGGAGATACCAGTAAAAGACGAAGAAAACCATCTGTTCAATCAATCAATCTGTCCGCCCTCCTGGCTGAGAAGGCCGCGTATAAACGAAAGTAGGTGTATCAACATTGACTCCGTTGGCCTGGTAAAAGAACCATACCTAGCTGCTCGGCTCACTCTGCTCATGAACCTGGAGTTTTTTCTGTGTCGTGGACCCCCAACACTTCATCATTCCACGCGGGCTCATACTCTGCTACGATTATTCCCCGGGACCCTCGTGTCGCTCGCCCCCATGCAGAAACTACCGATAGGCAGGCTGTCACACCTTCAACTTGCTAACCTGCCTTCCTACACCTTATTATCCCGCGCACCTCCTTCACCCTTTGCAACCCATGTGCGCGTTCGCGTCACACCCTCAGTCCCCGCTCTTGCGCCCCCACTCCCGCCCCCGACGTTCATACAGCCTTAGGCACTTCAATTACACATTGCTCTGAAACCACCTATACACACATATGTACGTCCCGAAATCATATCGAAAACAACTCGGAACATTTCCTCTGAATGGTGCGCGAAATCATATCGAAAACAACTCGGAACGCTTTCTCTGAATCGTGCGCGTACCCTTCCACCGTATCGTTTGCCCTGAGTGGAGCCCCTTCCTTCTATTCTTCTGATGCCAGCGCAAAGGACGCCTTTTCAGTACTGTCCAGCGACCCTCATGTACCATGGGGACGGGAAGAATTTTCCACCCCCCTTGCTGTTGCATTGGCCATGACGACAACCCCGTCGCCCCTAAGCTTGTTGCTCCTCCTATCCTCCCAGAATACGGCGTATGCTCCTCCACGCACACTGAGATACAACAGTTCAATAACCTGCTGTAGTCTGGGGTCAGCTGTTCGAAGAACAACCAACCTCACACTGTCACTCCTTGTGCCCACACTGTGCTCACCTGGTCAGGTAGACAGCGGGGCAAGCAGGTGGACATGGGCGTTGTAACGGATCAGTGGGAAACGCTTCGGTCAACAATCTACCCACCTCTCCCGCAATCCAGTGATCTTTACGGTGGAAACATCACGCGGTCTAACATCTCCCCCACTCCGCTGCTCCCTCGCTTTCCTCCTTGTTCTCTCCAGTCGCGGCGGCCACGGTGCTCATCCTTGCCATTCAGGTTGCACTAACCCTCACGGCTGTTGATGATTGGGGGGCCGACACACGAGAGGCGATGATTCAGCTCGAGCAGGTACCAATTGTTGACTCTACGTGATGTCATTGGTTGACGTGTTCTCCGGCGGTCGGCGATCGCTTCTAACACAACATTCATGAGAGCAGTATAGAGGGTGTCTAGGCTCGCTAAAGAAGGTTGTCTATGTCTCACCGAGATGTGCTGCATTTGCCTGGCTGTCTCTCTCTCCCTACCTCTCTCTCGCTCTTCTCTCCTTTTTCTCTCTCTCTTCTCTCATGGGGCACCAGGCGAATCTACTCAAGCTTGTGGCAGCGAAAGCCGAGTTTGTGTCTGAGCACTTCGGAAGGGTCGAGGAGAGCACTTTGCAGCTGCAAGCGTTTGCGGGGCAGGCTATTTTGGCCGTTCCAGAGACGATGACGGTCGACTCGTACTTGACCAGCTATTCGGGACTTCTTCAATCTGACACCACCTTCGACCATAGCGTTTGGCAAGTAGAAAATTTCGCACCCTCAACCCAGAGACTTGCGGTACACTCGCTTCTTGAGAAGGCAAGGTTGCCTCCAAGGTGTCGAGAAGTATGCTACCTCCCTTCAGAAGACTCTCACAGCCGAGGGATTTGTCGTGACATGTAAACTCTCAACACGCCCAGGGTAAAACGCGTGACGGTCGCTACTCAATGTCCTTAGATAGCTGTACATGTGCTCGACAGAGTTCAACACCTAGAACACCATCGCGCACATCTCGTGCGGGTTTTCTTGTGCCTCTCGACTCTGACAACTTCAACAGGGCGATCCGTCCCCTCCCCAATGATTGTCTGGTTCCGACTTGTTCCAGTAGCGTGCGCATCGATTACCCGAAGTACTCAATGATGTTCGTGGAAATGTTTTCGAAGCGATTCCGAAAGGATGTGTGGTGTGCAAGTGTGTGCAGAGGTCAGTAGACATGGCTCAAACAAGTCGAACAACCACAAACATATGAGGTGAGAAACATAGACGCCGCCGCCGACTGCTCGTCCAGGTTCATCCCGGAGTTCGCTGCGGGTGTGGTGCCCGAGGCCGGCGGGTCCCTGGAAAGCCTGCTCAACCGCTCGTCGCTCATGGACGTTCCCTTTCGGGGAATGCAGCGGCAGCACCCCCTTGTGTACCTCGCAGCCTTGGACGATCCATCCCCCGCCGCTGGCATGATATCGGATATCAACTTCCAGGCTTACGCCGGGTTCAACATGACTAGTTACCTTGAATGGGGCGTGGATGGGGTAAGCATGCAGGGCACAACGACTAGCCAGTACCACACCTACCTGTGGCGTCCCTTCGTATCGAATTTGTGTTGGAAGGCTCATCTCGAAACACCCAACGGCTGTTCACGCGAACGCCCTGGGCTTCGGCGATGCCAAAGCTTGCAACATGATCGTCAGTGACAAACCTGACACGCGCCTCTCGCTTCCTCTTACATTGGCACGAACGGTTCGAACACTAAACGGATTCTTCAAACGCCAACCAGGTATGCGACAGCTGGGATGAAACCACCTACACCGGGGACCCCTTCGAGCCGCGATGCAGACTGTGGTACCAAGACGCCATCGAGATCGGCAACACCGGGGTCATCTTCACCAACCCTTACGTGGACGCCGACTCGGAGAAGCTCACCATGACTGCCGCCGCGCCGGTCTTCAACACGGCCGGCACCGTGGCGGCAGTGGTTGGGTTGGACGTCGACGCCGGAGACATCGAGAGCTCCATCAAGGACCTCACGGTCATCGACGACGACGGTTATGCCTACCTGCTGGCCCCGGGCGGGGACGGGCAGGTGGCCGTTCACAGGGACTTGTTGGACTACGGCGGCGTGAACTACATCCTGGACTTGGAGTTCGGAGACGGCGCCGACGAAAACGGCGAGGAGGAATCACAGTTTCTTGATCTTGTCACCGAGATCTCCACCACCTGCTCCGGCTCCGCTGAGTACTCGAGGGATGGGAGCACGTGGATCCTGGCCTGGAAGCACGAGACCGTGAGCGGCGCCGGCGCGTCTACTGCCAGCGACAGCTGCGGCGACGGTGGCTTCATCGCCGTGGTGACGGTCAGCGAGTCGGTTCTGTTGGAGGTACGGTGGGTTAGGGAGGGAATGGTTGTGTAGGAGAGCGCAGGCGGAGAGTGGGCTACAGCATGCGGTAGTGCCGTGTTTCGGATACTAAATGTGCTAAATGTCAGTTTGGGGGGTCTTTCGTGGGACCAGCCTTGATGGAGATGCAGTATCTCTGGAGCCTGCGAGGACGAACTACGCGATGGAAGAGCGCGCCTGTCTTGGTTCAGAACAGTATTGCTGGCCGTGGCTGTAACTGTTTAACCCATATTTTTCCTTCCCTTCCGTTCCCTTCCGTTCCCTTCCTTCCGCTACTTTCCCCGTCGCGTGGCGTACCGGCACACACGTGATCTAGGCCTTCTCCGAGACGAAATCACAGATTTCCCGGGTGGAACTCTTCGCGAGCCTCATCATGGCCCTGGTGCTGGTCGTAGTCGCGTGCATCATGGGTGTCACTGCTCGAGCCGTGGCTTGCGGGATCGTGATACCGGTCAACCAACTTACCGACATCGTGCACTCACTCAACAGGATGGATTTCTCGCGGCAGGTACAATAAAATGAAAAAACTCCTCTCTCTATCTCGGCCCTGTACCCCACCGCTGCCTTGTGACTGGCTGGCGACGTCCGGCGCGCTTTGTCCCCATTTCCCTAGGTCTCGGTTTTGGAGCTTCATTCGCGATTCCTACGTACCCTGCGGTCGCCTCCTCTGCTGAAGGGCTCTGATCCGTAGTCATGGAACATGGTATTGGGTGCATGCCACATGAACCACGCAAGAGTTTCAGACAGTGTTGCTCCCACGCGTACTCACCAACAAGCAGGATTCACGGTACCAGTTGAGGGACATGGCGTAAGACCTCAAGGCTTTGACCTCGAGCAGGCACACGCTGCTGTCTTAAGAACCCCCGTGGCGGGCGGTCCAGAGGCCCCGTTGTATCATCTGCGCCAAAGTTATCGTTGAGCATACAAACACTCCATTAACATAAGAATCAACCAGTGAGCTGCGTTTACTCTACAATACGCGCGTGGGAGTGGGTTTTGCGCTCCCAGGGAAGGAAGAGCCACCGCCGAAGTGAGTGCCCACATCATCCTCCCGATGTTGACAGGCGCTGCTGCCCAAGCAGGGTGTCCACATCAACCATTCGATGGCGGTGTCAATAATCTCGCAAAACCTTCTTTCGCGCGTGTGTGCGTGAGCACGCGTGGCACAGGCGCCAGGGACTTGGATGGTCAACGACATCTCCTCCCCCGAGATCGAGGAGCTGATGGATGCCTTCGAGCAAATGAGCACGATCGTTTAGTTTGCCAACATGACCCTGGCCACAGGGGACATGGTCGCGGCGAAGGTAATCTACGTGGCCGCCCTGGCCCTCTTCACGAAGCTGAGAAACGACCGTGGAGTCGGCATCGTGAACAACAACCTCGGCAACTTGTACGCGCTGCAGGCCGGACAGTTCGTGGCCAAGGCAAGGGACGCAGAAAATCCGGACCAAGCCAAGGCCCTCAGGGAAGCGGCGCAGGGCAGTTTTGCCGACGCCGTCGCAAACTACGAGCTCGCCATCAACGACGCCGAGATGCTTTGCGCAGCCACCAACCAGCAACCGAATGACGCTTCACCGCTGCACCGGAGCGCCCACCACGGCGGTCTTAAGGGTGTGGACGAGACCAAGTGCGAGGAAGGCGTTAAGACTGAAGGTGCCGCACGGGCGGATGTCGACAAAAACTACGACGACGAGAACATGTCGCACGCCGCTCTTTGTCGGCAGCTCGCTAACCGCAAGTACAACCTCGCCCTGTGCCTCGCAGCAAAGGGCAAGAGCGCCGTCGCCACGGGGGGACAACCCGACCTGAAAACCATCGACGAGGCCAGGAATCTGATGCAGCAGTGCATCCAGCTAGCCCCCGCGCGGCAACACAACGGCGGAAACCCCAACAACGGCGACACGAAGACCGACCTGCGGCGTTTTGGATACCTCCTACAAGTGTCTGCCCTGGAGCGAGAGCAGCCAGGTAGATCTCGGGAGGCAGGGGAAGCACTGGATGCGGCCGAGCTGGTGATCGTGCCCTACGAGAGGCACTACCCGGACGGGGCGGGGGCGGCGACGGCCACGCCGCTGGAAACACCAGTGCAGATCCTCCGCCAGAGGCTGTTGGAAGCGCGCGCCGCCCACTGCGTAGCAAGCGGCTACCACGAGGCGGCAATCGATCACTACACGCAAGCCTTGATTGGGACGGGAGACCTGATTGACCCCAGCGTTGCCTGGGCATCACTCCTGGGACTCCGCGGTCTCGCCTCTGACGGCAACTACGGCCGCCTCTTCTCCCCCGACCTGCTGGTAGCGTTGGGCGTGCATTCTGACGCTGGCGCCGACCCCGAGAGCTTGACCTCGGCGATCGACCACGGTCTGGACAGGGTAAAACGTATCCAACCAAGCATGGCAGCGGCTCAACACTATCCTAGGGAGGCCAAAGTAGATTTATGCTTCGTGATGGACTGCACAGGATCGGTGAGAGGGCTGCCGTATTTCTGCGCTGTGCACTGCATTGAGATTTCGCAAGTAGACGAGGCGATTGATGGAGAGGAACAAGTTGCCGAGCCGCCTAAACGGCCGTCGCGCTCGCCGTTGAGGAGTACCGGTAGATGAGGTTTTAGCGTTGTGAGTGACTGCTGTACGTCTTGGATATGGACGGGTACCCCTCCCCCTCGAGGGTGCAGCTCTGGTGTGCCGCTGGAGGGGAAATCGAAGCTAACTGGTGCGTTCCCACATACGTATTCGAAGCTGATTGACATACCAACTACAGCACAACGACAAAACACCAATCACATCACGCACGTCGAATTCAAAACACTGCAACGCCGAGTTTTTGTTGCTTCCTTGATCTGATGTGCCACGTTGTTCTCCATGGTGGTTCTGCTTCTCAGATGCAACGCTGGATCGACCAGGCCAAGACCAAGTTGCTGGACATCATCGACCAGGCCAAAAAGGATGTCAAGAATATCAGCCTGCGGGTTGCCTTCGTTGGGTACGTTGTCAAGACCAAATGAAACAGCACCGTAGCCACGTTGGCCGATCATCAGCGCCCCAATTGCCTCGAGAGTGTTCTTTGCTGCCATCGCGACGTTGTGTTTGCCAATCCCGAGAGTTTTTCGATCGGTCCCACCCCCCCCCTCTCTCCCTCTCTGTCTCATAGCCTTAGTTAGCCCTGTATCACCTACTACCTCTGCATCATAGTGGTGTTGATTGTGGCATGGAGGTGATGTGTCGGTATATGTACGCGCATTGATCGAGCGATGTCTACGGGACACACGTAGAACATTGTCGCAAAACATGCGTGAGTAATCGTGAGAAAACCGATACAAGACGATGACAACTTTCCGTACCACGTTCCCGTAGTAATAGGTCGTGCGTCTCATCCCTGGTGATCTTCCAAAACCTCGCCCCTCCTCGCCGCAGGTATCGCGACTTCGGAGACAAAGTGCAGTACGAGTCGTTCGACTTCCATGAAGAAAAAGAGCTTTCCAAGCTTCTCGCCGCGCTCAACAAAATTATGGCCTACGGAGGTGTGTGCATGCCTTCGCCAGTGGATATCGTGCTACGTTTCCACATTTAGACTATGCTGGTCGCATCATTTTCCTCCTTGATATCTAGCTTGTCGATGGCGGCTGCCACGACTACTGGCTTGAGCGATGTCAGGAACACAACAGCGAACAGTCATCTTGAGTAGTGCCACTGTCCAACCCCGGATAGGTCTTGCATGGCAGTGAAGGCAATCGCCTTCACCCCCGCCGCTGCAATACTCTGCCGGCCCCTTGCGCCTCCCCATTCTTCAACTTGTACCCTGCCCGCGCTTTTCTCTTCAAGCAACTCTCTTGAATGGCAGTACTTCCCTGGCTATAACCCGTTCCCTCATGTACCACATCATCAAGGCAAAGACTTCCCAGAGGACCTTGCCGGAGGGCTGAAGCTCGCGACGGAGCTGGACTGGAGGGGCAACATCCGCCTTTGCATCCTCCTCGCCGACGCGCCGTGCCACGGTTCGATATACCACATCGGGGTCGGGGACAGGTACCCGAACGGCTGTCCGAACGGAAACGACCCATCCAAGCTGCTCTACGAACTGCAGGTGTGTACATGTGGGGCGGTGCGCAGGGGTGGAGGATCCTACCGCAGTATAAAGAGCATCTGCACACAAGCAAACGCCTGGATAGACGCTAGCCTAGTCCTTTCGCCCTTGCGCTGGATCTGTGAGCGCCGCCTCGTTGGTACGAGCGTGTACACACATAGTTGCAGGTCTATCATCATCACAGGTCGGTGTGTGCATGCAGCCTTCCAGCGTTGATTGTCCCAAGCCATCAGGTACCGCTCACTCCGATTCACCTCCAGCCATATGCAAGCAACGACAGGTCAGGAAAATCGTGATTTATCAAAGCACGGTGGCCGACCATATCACCGTCTCCGCTCACTATTCCCCATGACCAACCCCGTGCCAACTGCCACGATCAATTTCCCTCCCCCCCTCTCCTTGCCATCGGTTTACTGTACAACTGGGCGTGGAAAAACGAGTATGCGCCAAGTAGATGGAGGGAAGGAGTGGTTGTGAACTTGTTTAAAAAATGAGACAAGACTGACCCAGGAAACTACAGGAGTATCACACTGTTGAACACAGTAGGAAAAGTGTTTTGTAAGCTGCTGAACGATAGGATAGTGGGAGTATTGGAGAAGGAACGTAGCATAAGTGAGGGCCAGGCAGGTTTCCGACAGAAGAGGGGGTGCGTAGACCACGCATTCACGGTAGAGAGAATCATCCAAGGTAGAAAGAGGGCGGGAAAGCCGACGTTCTGCTTCTTCCTGGACGTGAAAAAGGCATACGATACCGTATGGAGAAATGGGCTGTGGAAACAATTGTCCAAGTACGGGATCAAGGGGAAAATGTGGAGAGTGCTGAAGAAGATGACAGAGTGTACGAAAAGGGCGGTCATGCTAGACGGAGAACTGTCTAAATTCTTCAACCTTGAGCAGGGGGTCCCACAAGGTTGCACGCTGTCCCCAACATCGTTACAGGTGTTCATCAACGATCTGTTGGAAGTCGTAGAGGCAGTCCGGAAGGGAGTAAAAGTAGGGGACACGGAAACTTCGGTGTCGGGAATGCTGTTTGCGGATGATTTCGTTGGTATGTCGGACACCCCTGAGGGAATGGAACTACAAATTGACGCGGCGAAGAAGTTTACTGATAAGCGGAGATTGTCTGCCAACGTTAAGAGGAGTGCCGTCATGGTACGCAACGAGGTCAGGGAGGAACCAGTACAACATAGATGGAAGTGGGGGATCGAGGAGATTGCAGTAGTGGACCAGTACACGTACCTCGGAGTAGAGATCGCGAACGACTGCTCGTGGAATCCACACATGTCCAAGGTAGCGGAAAGGGCAAAGCACGAGCAGGGAAGCTGCACCCAATACTCGCAAAAGCGGCACCTCGATACACGCATCAACTTGACGGTTTTGAAGAGCGTGACGGTACCGCCGCTAGAGTACGCCGGAGAAGCATGGGAAAGAAATAAGGAGGTAGTTAAGGAACTCGAGGCGGCGCAGATGAAAGCAGCGAAAATCATCCTAGGATGCTCCAAGCGCACAAGTAATGCAGCCGTCAGGGCAGAATTGGGGATCCAATCCCTACGGTCGGGAAGGGACGCAAGGAAGCTGACATGGCAGTATCGCATGTGCGGGATGGGAGAGGAGAGGTTTTCGAGAAATAGTATGGGAGGCGAAGTGGGCAAACAAAAAGAGGGGTAGACAACCCACGGAATGGGTCAAGGTTGTAGAGGACGTATGGAAGGGGTTAGACATCGACGAAGATGAAACGCTGGAAACGGAGGGTCTACAGGGGTTCAAGGAAAATATATCTGTTGCTTGTGCCGAGAGAGAAAAACAGAATCTAAGGAAAGAAACCAAGGATAAGGAGGGTCTAGAAGTGTACGGAATGCTGAAAGAAGGAATGGCCTAAGGTCAAATTCAGGACCGGGGACATAGGCCTTCGAGAACGTCGACGAAGACATAGGACGGTAGACGACGAAGACGACAAGTTCAAATGTGATTGCGGCTTCAAATGCGAAGACCGTGTTCATGTAGTCGCGGAATGTCCGTGGTACGAAGAGGAGAGGGAAGTGTACATGACTGAGCTGGGAAAAATACAAGGGACGTACAGGGAGATGTTTGAGGCATGGAATACAGAGGAGAGGACGGTATCTGTACTGGGGAGTAGGAAGTGGTTTGAAAAGGCGGGAAGGGATATCTTGAGGATAGACAGACTAGGGAAGATATTTTTGAGCCACCTTTGGCAAAGTAGGAAGGAACGATTGGCAATCGGTGATCAGTCCTGTGGGAACAATGCTCCGTCCTCTCGAGGACGCTTGGTCAATGGTCTAACCGCTAAGGCATGGAAGACATAAGAGTACGCCCCCCCCCTCCCCCCCCCTCTCCTTGCCTCGCCTATCCTTTTCAAAACACCGACAGTACGAAATCGGTGCCGACTTCTACTTCATCCGTATGACCCAACACACGGACAAGATGATCCAGGTGCTGCGGAAGAAGGCGGGGGATACGTTTGCGGACGCCGGGGCTCACAGTCTTGCCGGGAACGGGGGCAGGGCTGCCACAAAACGTGACATTGTGGTGCACGATCTTGGTTCGGAGGACAATCGCTTCCTGGAGGTAGTTGTGGAAAGCGTCAAGGTCAGCGTGCAACAACAGTATCAATTCGAGAACTACTAGTCTACATCAATCCCGGACACGGAAGAGGAAGGGAGGGGTTGGATGTTATCCATCGCGTGGGACCTTGTGATTGATGCCGCCGGAATAGACGTCTCGCCAGACAAAGGTAGCCTGAGGAGAAAATATCAGGCTGCGCCGGTTTGATTTTTTCGATCTTGCTCTCTCGTTTCGGCTCGAAAACGCAGCCCCCTCCATGTGCGTGAAGGCTGAAGATATTAGGGGCTGTGGGGGGGAGGGAGGATTTCTAAGAGAGGAATGTCAATAGTTCATGTTGACACAGCATTCAAGTATTATTAGTGGTAAGGGCTAGTTGATGCAGTGCTAGTGTCTTCAATTCGCATAGTCTACTTCTATATTTGTTGTTTCGGTTGGGTGATCCGCCAACTAATTGCGTATCTTTACGAGCTACAACACCTCGGTTAGCGTAATAGGTCAGCCTGGTTAGGTTGTACGTTAGGTTGTCCAGCACGTGTGTACCGGTGTGTACAAAGGTAGTCCAGCGAGTGAAACGGGGGCGAAACGGGTTCGTCGCAAATTGTGCAAGTACATTTTAGGGTTCCATCTTTTTTGGTCAACTGTATATTGCCGTATTGTTGAAAGCAAGCCGACGAATATCGTCGGCGTTGCTAGTCCCAAGCTTTATATTTTTATTTTAGTCGCGTGTTGCGCGTGTGCTGACACCACGAACGGGAAGGACCTTAATTAGCCGACACACTACGCAATAATGGTCGTGATGGACGCGGGTACGCAATAAAAAAACAACACATACATCCGATCCTCGGGAATCACGAAATGCAACGTCTACATACACACGGTAGGCACTCTGTCTGTCCCTTTAACACGGTACGTACTGCTTTTGCCTACCACTCACTCTCGTCCTCTCGTCCGCATCAACAACAAACAATGCAACTTGCCGCACAACAAGAGCCATCCCTGCAGGAAAAGCTGTACAAACAAGCAAAAAGCAGCTCCTGCTGCGGTAAGCTGCTGCTGTATGTACCATTTTTCAGCACGCACGAACAACAGATACAGCACAGGCGAAAGAGCTGAGTCTGCCTGTCTGTGTCTGCGTCGGCGTGAGTAGGGGTGGGTGTGAGGTATCGATAGAGTAACGACAGGGATGTTTTTTTATGTTTATTCTTCTTAATATGACACAACGAATCCATCTCCATCATAGAAAAGAGTCTGAGACAGATTAGCAATGAATTCATTGTGTATGGCATCTCGACGAGTATCGTCGCGTTGCCTGTCTGAAGCTTTCGATTTTTGCAGCGGGTAACAATCAAGGTAGACACCAAGAAGATGCCCGATGAGCACACAGGAACCGGGGGACCCCAAAAAACAAAAGCATGAAAAACAAAAGAAAGAAAGAAGCGAGAACAAACGAGTCAGACGCGACAGGCTTCAGGGAGGAGGCAAAAGAGCGCATAGAAGAAAAGCACCGTCGCCGCTCGCTCCGGACCGCTGGAAACTCTCACATAGCACTACATATGGAGCAAATATTAGGTAGGGCCCAAGTCCATTGCTTGGCATAACGCCCATCGCTTCACATGCAGCAGCCGGATGCACGGGTAGCCTCTTACTCAGCAAAAAGCGAAACGACTGCGGTTGGTTGACGTTCGATGTTGTTGGGACCCTACCGGCGAAAGGCGAGAGAGAGAGAAAGAGAGGTAGACAAAAATACGAGAGCGGAGAGAAGACAAGGCATTGACTCTCTCGAGAAGAGAAGGCATTGACTCTCTCGAGAAGAGAAGGCATTGACTCTGTCGAGAAGACACTCACTCTCGTCCCTCTGGCCCGCCGCAGGCTGTCAGACATGATGTCACGTTGTGTATCGAACGGCGATATCCGATGTCGGCTCAGCAACAGCAAACAAGCACAACAACAAACAAATATAGTCAGTCGCCGTGTGCGAGCTGTGGACTACTATCTTGTTGTAGGAAGTGAGAACTAAAAAGAGCACGACTACATAGCACCACGGACGAACTATTATCGCAATACGCTTGCCGTCCGCCATAGATGCGCACCGCTGCACGAACGAGCTGTTGGTTATCATACCTCACTACGTAGTATCTAAGATTGTGCTGCCATCTAGCTTACCTATCGCTCAAATTACGACTACGCAGCAGACTCAAGGCAAGGAAGCAACACGCGTGCCGATGCATACCAACCATGCATGCAGCAAAACAAAACAAGGCGGACCGTCTGTTGTTGTTTGTCTCTTCAACTGACTGTGCTGCCGACAACGACACTGGAAAAAAGTAGGAGACGCGCATCGCCTACGCGAGCAACGCGTGCAGCCCAAAAAAACAGAGACGATAACCTTACGACCTTTCTTTTCAGCACATTCCGAGCATATACTGCAGCAACCGCAAGTATGTGTACAGCAGCAGCCGCATGTTGTGTACAACAACGGTCACTCAGGAAGAAAATCACAACAACAAACAAACGCAAAAAAAAAAAGGTGGTGGCGCGCAGCACGCAGGACCCTCTTTCGCTTTGAACCGGCCATTCCCATGGCGAAACAGACAAGGTACAGCAGTGAAGGCCGACTCTTGCCGGCCCCAGGAGGCGGAAGCTGCTACAACTCGGGGACGGGTCATGATTTGCGATTGATTCCTCACCGAACGGATATCGAACGATGACACTACTGTTTCAACTAGCTTCAGAAAAGCTTCAAAATTAATTGTGAAACTTGCATAGAGATGGCAAGTAAACACCCCGTTCCAAAGAATATCTGTCGTTGATTTTTATTGACTTGCGGACCTTTCGGGGCCAGTTTGTTTTAGCGTACCTCTTTAGGGTAAGTTAGCCTGTGACCACGGGAATCGACCGCGTCAAGTGTTGGATCAGTACGCACATATGAAGGTACTGGGTAGAGAGAGATCTGAACGGTTTTTAATGCGAAGACAACAACAACAACAACAACAACAACATTTAAAACTGAACTAATGGGTGGTGGGCGGATGACCGGCGGACCCCAAAAAGCAAGCGGAAAAATAAAATATAGACTATGTTAAGAAAAAAAAGAAAAAGAAGAAGGGACGACAAAGACAAGTGAGCCAGACGCGACAGGCTTCAGGGAGGTGGCAAAAGAGAGCATACGAAAACCACCGTCGCCGCTCTGAACCGCTGGAAGCTGTCACATAGCACAGCATGCAGCAAACATTATAGGGGCCATGCCCCCGTTGCTTCAAGTAAAGAGGCAGCGCCCATCGCCTCACATACAGCAGCCGGGTACGTACTACACAAATAGCCTCTTACTCAGCAAGAAGAAAAACGATTGCGGTTGACGTTCGATGTTGTTGGGACCCCAACGGCGATAATAGGCGAGAAGGAGAGACAGGTGCTACTACTACGTAGATCAACAGAAGAAAGCGTAGAGAAGGCATTAATTAACTCTCGAGACCCTAACCGAAGACACTCACTCTCGTCCCTGTGGCCCACCGCAGGCTGTAACGAACGACGACATCCGATGTGTGCTCAGCAACAACAAACGCAACAAACCAAATATAGTCGCCGTTTCCGAACTAACTGTGGAGACTCTCTTTCATCACTTGTGGTATGAAGTATGAAGTGACAACGAAATAGAAAATGATGACGAGAAGCACCACGGACGAACTATTTTCTCAATACGCTTGCCGTCGCGATAGACGCGCACCGTTCCACGAACGACCAGTTGTCAAACCTCACTACGCAAATAAGATTGTTGTCCTGCCATCTACCCCTTATCGCTCAAATTACGACTACGCAGCACACTAAAGGTAAGTAAGGCAGCAACACGCTTGCGATGCTTTACCACCCATCCATGCATGTAAGGGAAGAAAAAAAAAAGGGTATGGCGGACCGTCTGTTGTCTGTATCTTCAACCGTGCTGCCGTTGCTTTTCTTCATGGATATCGGCACAGAGAAAAAATGAGGAATGCGCATCTCCTACGCGAGCACGGCGTGCAGCCCAAGCGACAGAGACGATAACCTTATGACCTTTGCAGCATCTTCCGAGCATAACAGCAGCCACCGCATGTGTACAACGGTCACTATAGACTAAGGAAGAAAATCACAAAATCACTGGTTATCGCCCCACAGCGAGCGATAGCTGCTCAAACGACTGTGAGAGGTCTTGAAATCGTCTCAGCTACCCAGAACTGCTGGTAGTTGCCGGAGATTTGCAGGTACGTACTGCTTTTGCCTACCACTCTCGTCCTCTCGTCCGCACATCAACAACAACAATAAATGCTAATTTTCGCACCACAAAAGAGCCATCCATGCAGAAAGTTGCAACAACAGAACAAAAGCAGCTCCTGCTGTATGTACACAGAATGTCCAGCTGTGTGCTGAGGTCGGTCAGCATCTCGAGAGAAGCGTAGCCAGCAAGCAAGGCTTGGCGCGGGACACGAGAGAAGCAAGCAAGGCTTGGGGCGGGCGGCGAAAAAAAGAAGACGACTCTATATAAAAAGATCTGTAAAAAGAAGGGTTGGCGCGGGCGGCGAAAAAAATGAAGACGACTCTTATACAAAAAGATCTATAAAAAGAGGACCCTCAACGACAAGTCAACCAATCTGGTCGTTCCGATGTGACGATGTAACGCAGATCTTCTTGTCGACGGAGAAACTGGTTATCGCCCCACAGCAAGCGATAGATGCTCAAACGACTGTGAGAGGTCTTGAAATCGTCTCAGCTACCCAGAACTGCTGGTAGTTCTCGGAGGTTCGCAGTGTGGGCTGAGATCGGCCTTTTCGACCCGGTCGGGCAAGGGGTCCGCTATGCTACTGAAAACTCCACAGACGGAAAAAAAAGACTTTTGATCGACTGAGACCCAAGCTAGAGCTTGGGAATAGGTTGAAAACTGGCAAACTTCTGGTCGTCCGTGTAGCGTGTAGCACTAGGTTTCGGACGAAGTCGTCATATAGTCTGCCTGTGCCCAATCAGCATCGACCGCGCTGGCTGGTCGACCAATATGACAAGACGTAAGTCTTACCTAAATTGAATGCTTGGCGAGCAAGGTCTGCGTGCAAGTGAGTGAGTTGACGTTATAATGAATGATGCATTGGGACGAGGAGAAGGAAGGCCAATCAATGATGATCTCTTGTCGTTGCCGAGCGCGCCCAAAAAGAAAAGCAATGCGGCAAGAAGAGCACTTCTACAAGAAGATTAGTCACAGAGCGTTGCAGCCAGCCGTGTTACGAACGAATATCGTGAGTTCATGGTATCCAATATTCACTCATCATGAGAAGGTTCTCTTTCTTGTCTTCCATTTGTTTTGATTGCAGTATACGGTAGAAGAGCAAGAACTAGAGCGAGCGAGGCGGTCGGATAAAAAAATTGCTAGCTAGCGTGCTCGATGCTGAAGAGAGAATCGCATACACGCATGACACACACACACATACGTACGTGCGGGCCGCGCTGACAAAAGAAGGCGTCTTCGGGGTGCCTGGAACACCACCACCAATGACAGGTTTTTTTTTTGTCCGTCATAAAGTCATCCGCCGACACACCACCAACGACAGGTTTAGTCCATCATAAAGTCATCCGCCGGCATCACAGGTTTAGTTTAGTCCACCATAACGTCACCCGCCGGCGTCACCAGGATCCTTCGTCGTCCGGGCACGCAATCATGACTAAGGATGCCTACCCAACCGAGCCGCCGGCTCGGTCGTTCGTCTTTTTTTTTTGGGGGGGGGGGGGCAGCGCCAAGTAGACTGTGTACAACATTGGTCAACTGGATAGTGACTGCTAATCTCAGTTGATACCCCGCATAGCGTGAAGAGGGAGCGGAGGATCCCAGAATATCTGTCGTTGATTTCTATTGACTTGCGGACCCCTCGGGGCCAGTTTATTTGAGTGTACCTTTTTAGGGTAAGTTAACCTGTGACCACGGGAATCGACCGCGTCGAGTGTTGGATCAGTACGGACATACGAAGGTACTGGGTAGAGAGAGATCGGAACGGTTCTTAATGTGAAGACAACAACAACAACAACAACAACAACAACCGGCCTTGCTTTTATTATTAAAACCGTTTTTATTGTTAAAACCCTCTTCATCGTTCGCCACACTACGTACTACTGCCCCAAATCGATTGGCACCGTGAGGCGAAACCAGCCACTATCATCCCAGCCGCCACTGTATCGCCCTTCCTTGCCTTCACACGCACAACCACCATCAGGTCTTCTTACTACGCCGAGAACTACGACAGGTGAGACGGACCAATTCCCTAAAAATCGCGCCCTTCCGTCATCATCATCATCCGCGAGCGTCCCACATGACAAAAAACATGGGAAGTAATACATTGCGCGACCGATGTTGAGCTGCCGAAGAAATTGAAATCGAATACGTACGTAAGCAAGCAAGCATGAAAAAAAAAAACGCGACATACATGTAGTCGAGACTTTTCGTTCCATCGATAGTGGTCGTATGTATGTAAATGTAGTTCATAATGAATGGTGCTCGCCGTGTCTATGTAATGATATCAACACTCCCACCACGGGTTGTAGGGTGAATGTGTACACTGCGATGCCGTCTACCATCGTCGCACGCACGTACCGCACAGCAACACCAACGACCGGTTGTTTCCGCTAGAAAACACACACTCACAGTATACCTGACAACTACTACATAACAGTTCCCACCGCAACCTTGATGCAGCACCACCGCATGAACCAACCGCCTTTGTTCGATGTTTCTCCCACCCTGCATGAGCGAGCGCTACAGTACCTTGCAACACTCGGGAGACCCACGCCAGAACACAAACCCAGAGCGATGCATTCCTCCTAAATACTTGTGGTTGCCAAGCACTACTGTGTAGGCAAAAACAGTGTGATCTTTCGTGGCGGGTGCAAACCAAAAGGGAGCTAGCTCTCCGCTCTCCCTATCAACCCACGCTGTAAAGCACTGAGCGTTAAAAAACAACCTTGTTGCTCTATTGTAGCCCTGGGCGGCAAGAAAACCAACTCGTTGTTGTTCTGACCGCCCCCCCCCCCCCCCCCGCGCGCGTAGTACATGATTTTTTTTCCCGTGCAAGAAAAAAAAAAAAAACACCAGAACCAGGAAGGTTTTTATCTGGCCTACCGTCTCCGGCAGTTGCCACGTACCACTGCACGATCTTCCAACACTAATCCACCCGTGTTGAGTGAGAGAGAGAGAGAGAGAGAGAGAGAGAGAGAGAGAAAGAGAGGTCGGCCGATGCTGCTATTGGATATATTCTAAAATAACGAGAACAAGGCCCAACACGTTTGGGATCTCCCCCGGAGGCTGATCATTGTTCTACAAAAGTGTGGGCAATATTGCACCATCAACCGAATCAAAACGTGTCCGCCTCTTAGGGTAGGGGCGAGGCGAACAAAGGGCACAGAACAACAACGTCAGAGAGGATATGCAGCAAACTTCTGCAGACACACAAAAAACACGTAGTACACCACCCACCCCCCCCCCCACCCCCCTCTCGTCTTCCCAGCTTATATAAAGCCAAGACTTAATTTTTTTGTTTTTAGCACATGAACAACCGCCCAATTTTCCTTGTGGACAACGCCCTCACACCCGGGAAAGTCGCAAGGAACCAGATCCATGCCGGATGCGAACACAAGAACACACGGGGACAGCAACAAACCCTTACGAAAAAAAAACAGACCAAAAAAACAACACGCACGACACAACTTTTCAGATCCAGATTGATATATACAGGCACAGGCTAAGATAAGAGAGGCCAAGCGAGACAGATAAAAAAATAAATGCGCCCAACAGACCTCGTTCTTTGGCGTCGCTTAATTGTCATGCACGAAAACCACGAGAGCCCCGCCGCGACCCGACAACAAAACGCACCACGTAAATCACACCCAAGAGTCGGTGTTAAGATCGAGCGCAAAACATCATCGAAAAACACGCAGAATAAACGGCTGCGCCCCCCTACGCACCGCACACACACCCCGCGGCGTACGCGCACCACAAAAAGTCTACAACGTTCTGTCTCTCTGGCGGGGTGGCTCTCTCCCGGCCCTTCTGCAAAAACCACCACCGTAAGACTACCGCCTCCTGCGAGCGTGACACTACCACCTCTGTCACCACCGTCACCACCACCACCGCGCCGCCACCTTGGACAAAGGGCTGTGTGGCACAGAATTATTTATCGACAACACGACGGCAGGGCGGCAGGGTCGGGCCACCACTCCACCAAGCAAGCCGGTTGTAAACAACACACGAAATAAACTCGCACCCCAGCCAAGGCTCAACTACCTTCATTACCCGCCCGCCCCATTAAGACCCACCCGCTCCCCCCCCCCCTCGTCAGGTGGATCCATCCCACACGAACAGCAAGCAACTCCAAAAGAGACTCTGCTTATGTACCATCCATCGAAACCGGGCTGAACTGCACGTATCTCGACCAAAACAAGCACTACCACCACTACCGCCGTCGTGCCATTTCAATCGGTTCGTACTCACACACATGAGATTGGGGGTGGGGGGGACTACCCCAATCGCGGGCACGGGGCGGTAGCTAGCTAGCTAGCTACACGTGGAGTAGGCTTTAAACAACGCAAACAGGTCCTGGGACCAGCCCGACACCCTTGTCCTGCTCCAGCTCCTTCTCGAACTGGAGCTCCTCGATGAGCTTCACGAGGATCATGAACCCCTTGACGGTGAGCACGTCCCTAGTGCTGCCGCCGCTGCCACCCTCCTGCGAGCCAGGGGCAGCGGCAGCAGCATTAGCGGCGCCGGGGCTTCCGCTGCCCCAGATGTCCGTCGTCTGCGCACGAGGGTCGCCGCCCGTCCCCAGCTCGGCGTCCTGAGCGCGAGCGGCCTCCTGCGGGAAGAGGGATCGTACGTGTCATCGAGAGAACGGACAAGAGGAAGGGGAGGGGCATTGGTGAGGAGGAAAGGCGGTGCTGTAGCTGTGCGCATTGTTGACTCTTTCCACGATAGGGGGTGCTGTTGTGGTGGGGGCGCACGCGCATGCATCGCCGCCACAAGGACCGACAATGGACATATGATGGGAAAAGGAAAAGAGACTGTCTTGTTTGCTGTCGATGTACATACACAGCCTTTTTCTATACCCTACCCTTGAAGCCCAGCACCACCACAAAAACGCACATCCAAACACAGCAGCATACACACGCACACCTGCCACAGAGTAGTGAGCTCTCCCTCCTTCAACGCGCCGAACTCCAACAGCTCCTGGACCTCGTCCCACCCCATGAGCTGCCTGAAAGACAGCGTCGATTCCTCGCCGAAGGCACCCGCCGCCGCTCCCCCTCCGGCGTCGCCGGTCTCGGTCTCGCTGCCGCTAGAGTCGCACAGCCGCTGGAACACCTTGGCCTGGGCGGCGACCTGCGGCCCGCTCCCGGTGCTTCCGGGCGTGTCCGGACTCGGGACGGGCATCACGGCGCCGGAGGCGGTGATGGCGGTTGTCGGGGGTGCCCCAACAACAACGGCTCTGTCGCCGGCACCGCCGCCG